GTCTATTCAAGCTAGAGGTGGTTTTGAGTATTTCGTTGCTTTCATTGACGATTACTCAAGATATGGGTACATTTACTTGATGCGCCGCAAGTCTGAATGCTTTGACAAGTTCAGAGAATTCAAGGCAGAAGCGGAGAACCGTCAAGGGAAAAGTATCAAGTCACTGCGATCTGATCGTGGTGGCGAATACCTTAGCAATGAATTTAGGCAATACTTATTAGAGAATGGGATTACATACCAGCTGACTGCGCCTGGTACTCCCCAACAAAATGGCGTAGCAGAGAGGAGGAATAGGACTCTGTTGGAAATGGTGAGACCGACGATGAGCTATGCTTCATTACCTACCTCGTTTTGGGTATATGCCTTGGAAACGGCAGCGTACCTTCTTAACTTTGTATCTTCTAAATCAGTTTCGAAAACTCCAATAGAATTGTGGTCCGGGCGCAAGCCCAGTTTAAACCACATTCGGATTTGGGGTTGCCCAGCACAGGTGTTGGATAAGAAAGCTGATAAGTTGGCACCTAGAACAGAAGTACGGCTGTTTGTAGGTTACCCAAAGGGAACGAGAGGTGGTTACTTTTATAGTCCTAAAGATCAGAGGGTAGTGGTTAGCACCAATGCCCGATTTTTAGAGGATGACTATATGAGTGAGCATAAGTCCAAGAGTGAGATTATTCTCAAAGAGTTGAGGGCAGACAATGGCATACTGAGTGTGCAAGAGGATATACCACAAGAGACTGCACAACGTGTTGACTCTGATGTATTTTACACCTGAATTGCCTCGTCGTAGTGGGAGGGTTGTTCGTCAGCCCGATCGTTTCATGTTTGTGGGAGAGTCCTCAGACTTCATCCCAAGTGACGAGCATGATAGTGACCCCTGGACCTACAATGAGGCAATCCAAGACGTAGATGCAGAATCTTGGCAGAAATCTATGGATTCTGAGATTGAATCTATAGATGCTATGGATGTCTACGACCTTAGGGACCTTCCTGAAGGCAAGAAAGCCATTGGGTGCAAATGGGTCTATAGGCGTAAGAGAGGATCTGACAGGAAGGTTATTTCCTTCAAAGCACGGCTGGTTGCGAAGGGTTTCACTCAGAAAGAGGGAATCGATTATGATGAGACCTTCTCACCGGTAGCCATGCTTAAGTCGATCTGGATTCTCTTATCTATAGCAAGTCACATGGACTATGAGGTTTGCCAAATGGATGTCAAGACACTTTCCTTAACGGAAACTTGGATGAAGACATCTATATGCAGCAACCCGAGGGTTATGTGAAGAAAGACCAAGAGCATCGAGTATGGAAGCTAAGGAAGTCTCTTTATGGACTAAAAACAAGCTTCTAGGTCTTGGAATATTCGTTTTGACGAGGTGATCAAGTCCTATGGATTTGATCAATGTCAAGACGAAAGTTGTGTGTACAAAAAGAGCAACGGAAACGTAGTGGTATTCTTGGTACTATACGTAGATGATATTCTTCTCATCGGCAATGATGTCAAGATTTTGTCAGACGTAAAGGTATGGCTTTCAGAACAGTTTCAAATGAAGGACTTAGGTGAGGCATCATACATTCTTGGAATCAAGGTCATTCGTGACAGGAAGAAAAGAATGTTGTGTCTATCTCAAGCTGCTTACATTGATACTATGACTGCTCGTTTCAGCATGCAGAACTCTAAGAAAAGGTTGCTACCTTTTCGGCATGGAGTTCCTCTATCTAAGGATATGTGTCCGAAGACACAAAAGGAGATAGAGGAAATGGCTAAGGTTCCTTATGCTTCGGCTGTAGGAAGCCTTATGTATGCCATGTTGTGCACGAGACCTGATATTTGCTATGCGGTTGGCATGGTTGCGAGATATCAGTCTAACCCTGGTCAAGGACATTGGACTGCGGTAAAGCATATTCTCAAGTATCTGAAAAGAACTCGGGATTATATGCTTGTTTACCAGTCAGACGGTCTAACTCCTTTAGGTTACACAGATTCTGATTTCTAAGCTGATCGAGATAAGAGAAAGTCGACCTCGGG